TCATCAAGTGTGTCACGTATGTGTTGAAGGGTATAATTAAAGTTCTCTTTGCTTATTCGCCATTACGTCACAATATTATTTAGCTAAGCCCTCGGGCGGTTTGGTCTTTTTCATAAATTGATGTTTGGTTTAGAAATTGTGTATTCTAAAGAGAGGATCATTCGATTCATTTCTTTTGTCGTTATTTTCAGAACTAATTAAAATGATGGAATCCGTTGGGTTATTAAAGCGATATTTCCAAAATTTTCTGTGTCCTATGCAGAGAATTTCCTAAAACAGCTATACGACTTGTTGTTACAAGTGCTTTTCAGTATTACAGTTATTTAGGTAACCTATTGAAGAAAAAAACAGTAGCGGTACTACAAGGACGGGAAAAATTGTTGTGATAAGTTTTATTCACCTATTAATTTCATCATAAGTTTGACATCATGCATTTATGTTATCGAAAACCAAATATTAATATATATATATATATTGTTTATTTATGCATATTCTGTAAGACCATAAGCAAATTTTGTTGAGTTCAGATTTGTTGTCTTTATTATTTATCTTGGTGAGTGTCCATCAACTATTTATTAGCTATGTCATCTAAATTTAAGAATCTAACTACATGAATAGGAATAAAATACTTAAATACTTAAACAATTCTCAAAGTGTCAAATATAATTGGAAAGATAGCTACTGAGACAGAAAAATAACAGCAGATCTTCATTCAAATTTGTTTAGGGTTTTTGACACAATTGCCCTTTAACTCGTCGTGGTTTAGCAAATTGCCCATTAAATTTTAAATTTTGGCAAATTACCCCTTGACCTTATAAATTTGTTGCAATGTGCCCTATTTAACTAAATTTTCTCAAATTTTTATTATATTTAAGGGATTAAAAGTTGACATACTGAAAGATTTGCGTTACATTTGAATTGAAATATTGAAATTTTTGGCTGAACATGCTTTTTTAACACTAATTTAACACAATCGTCATTAAAATGAGACATATTGCAACAACTTTATAAATTGAGAGGTCAACTTGCCAAAATTAAAAATTTAGAAAGCAATTTACTAAACTATGACAAGTTTAGAGAGCAAATGTGCTAAAAACCCTTTTGTTTATTAGGGTACGTATATTTCATCGGTGAATTAATTTGACTTAAATATTAAGGTCTCGTTCATTTCACCGATTTGAGTTTAGAATTTGAGTTTTGCTACAGTAAAAAACTTTCAGAAACAGTCACATTTAACTTTTTTACTACAATAAAAAGCTCTCACATAAAGTCATATCTTAACTAGAATTAAAAACTCAAATCAGCGAACTAAACGGGCTCTAAATATAGTTTGATGTGCATATAGTGTCTTTAATGTGGCTCCTTTTTCTTCTCAAAAAACTTATGCTTGTTAAAGACGTATTAAAATGGTTGTTGAAAGCCAATTATGATTTATGTGCGGTCTTCTAAACGATATGCCACATGTATAACACGTCAAACAAAAATTTGGACCATCTGTTGATTAAGAAAGAATCTATAAATTTTTTTAGGCTTCATCTAATCAAATGCTTGAGGTAAATAGCTTATTTTGAGAGGGGATAAATAGAAAATAATAACATAAACTTAAGGGATAGTAAATTAATAGCAGGTTTTACGCTCAAATTTTCAAAAATTCTTAGACTCCCGTTCATATCACCGATTCGAGTTTAAAATTCGAGTTTTGTTACAGTAAAAAGTTCTCAGAAACAGTTACATCTAATTTTTTTGACTACAATAAAAAACGCTCACATAAAGTCACATATCAACTCGAATTAAAAACTTGAATATCCGAACTAAACATGCCGAATACCTTGGCATTCTACTCTTCCCTTCGGATCTTCCTCGTCATCTTTGTAGTCATTGTTGTTGTCCACGAGCAACATTCTCACCGCGCGATAGAAGCTCTCTAGTCCCCCTTTAGTTGCTAGAGTAGCTTAGATATCGCCAAGCTCTGTTGCAACTCCTAAGATAGTCGCGATCTCCATTGCTAAAAGTCAATCAACTAGTTTGTGATCGCATCCCTTTTTTGGCCTCCTCTTCGTGGATTTGCTTAATTCATCGGCAACAACGCCAACAGATCTTCTCATAACTTTGCTCGATCTACGGATGTCAAGCGTTCTAAAACCACACAATCTTTCTCGCTATTCTCTTCTCCTTGAATCAACTATTATGTGGGGGTAGTAGTTGAATCTTTTTCGATTACCAAATATCTCTTTTCAATCCCTCACGGCAATAAATTCCTAAACTCTAAAAAAGAGAGCTTAAAAATTCCGATAAAAGCCAAAAAAAAGATATAAACCTAGCAAATGCCTCTAAGGGTCTATTAATTAATATCATTATGTAGTTAGTTAGGATTGGAAAGTTTTTGAAATTAATTCATACATATGAGATCTAAGGCTTTTTTTTTTTCACAGCTCAAATCACTATTTAAATTCTTTTGTTAGTGTTTTCTCTCACGTAAATTTAAATTCAATTGTTTTGCTATATCATAATTCTCTCACGTAAAAAAATTTGAGTTGTGAAAAAAAAAAAAAAACACACCCTTAAATGGATACTGGTCGATTTTGTGACTCCTCTGAAACATGTGAATCATTGATAAGAATGTGGAACGGTCTTCTACCTCTTCTATCTCTAGTTTTTATAAATTTTAAAAATAACTAGTGAGAATGTGATGACATGATTCTAGTAATCTTTTTCTTTTTTAAAAGTTAAAAATTTTGTGTAAATCATAAAGGAATATTAGGAAGAATATATATGTCCAAGCGAATTAGTAATTGATAATCAATAACCTTCTCCGAAAGCAAAAGCTCCATATATATTTTTTTTTTAAAAGAGAGATTTCTATGATCTCAAAAAGGGTCTTTATGGTGCCAGGAGAAAATTTTCCAGCACCATGCCAAAAGATACAATAATTTGTGATATTTTCTTTAGAATTTACAAATTCAAACGATAAAGTTGTAAAAGTTATGCCAAATTTGTGAATTTTGAAGGAATATGATAACTTGTGAATTTTACGTTAGAACTTGCAAATTCAAACGATTCATCGCATTTCTTCAAAATTCACAACTTTATTGTAACTTTTACAACTTTATCGTTTGAGTTTGTAAATTTTAACGTAAAATTTCATAAATTACTGTATCTTCCGGTACAGAGCCGAAAAATTTTCTCCCAGCACCATTAAAGTTTCCCTAAAAAAAGCACTACGAATTTGTATTTCAATTGTTAGATATGTATTAAAATGTGTTGATTACGCATTATCTTTTTTGTTTTAATATGATTTAAAGGAAATTTTATTGACACCTTAAGTTTTTATTAAAGCACCTCCAACTTATATAAAAATTCTAATTATTCTCTTTTTAAAATTAAAATCCCTTATAATTTAAAAAATTCCCAATGTATGCCCCATATTTTTCTACTTTTAAAAAGGTGGTTTCTTAAAAAGATTTACTTTCTCTTTATTTTGGGGTGAGATATGATTCTTCCCATTTAAACTTGATGAGATAAGTTTTTTGTTTTTTTAAAAAAACTTGAACTTTTTTTTTCTTTTCTTTACTTTTTTCTATTTTAATTTGAACTTAAACAATTTCTTTTTCCTTCTTTTTTTTTTTTTTTTTTTTTTTTTTTATAACGTTTTTTTTTTTTTTTTTTTTCTTTTTCTAGCTTTCCTTTTTCCTTGTTTTATTTTAACAACTTTAAATTTAATTTTTTCAAATTCTTTGATTATGTTCACGTGACTAAGCTCTTCTATTATCATCATCATTCAATACTTTTTGTACAAATTTGTTCATTTTTAGTTAAAAATAATAAGAAAACTCCTAATACAATACATTTTGTACGAATTAAACGACAACAAGAATTTAAATTACTCATTCCTTCAAAAAAAAAAAAAACAAATTATTGTTTAATTATAGATCTAACAAAAAATATAATAAAAAATTTGAAACATCCGGTTAAATTAATTGAGATTAATTAATCAAATCCGGTGGTTAGTGTTAATTAATTTAGGATTAGTGAAAGAATTTCAGTTATAATTATCACGTAAATGGCCTTTCCCTTTAAAAATGATTGTTTTGAAATTGACATTGATGTCTCTCGAACAGTTTTAAGTGTTGGTAACTAATTTTTCAAAAAATGAATAATGGGTAATTTCATACTCTATTCAAATTGGACTTTGAAGTCTAATTATCAAATTTGCTCAGAAAGTCTAAGCCCATTTTTCCTTTTTTCTTTTCTTTTTCTTTCTTTTTCTCTTTTTTCTCTCTTTATCTCTCTCTCCCACATTGACTCTCTCTCTCTCCACGTCGGCCAGCTACCACTGATGAGATTCCAGTGTTGTTTCGCGACACAGCCCACACCATCAGATAGCTCTCGACGAGCTAGACTCGTTGACATGCCGCACGACCTCCATCTCCACCGGAAACAGCCGCAATCGCCGGTGAAATGTCTGAAAACTACCGAAACTTCTCACCGTCGTAACTTTGTCGTCCGACCTCCGATCGGAGTGATTCCGGTCCCTATGGACTCAGCTCGACGAGACGAACAAAAACCATGCCGTCTCACCCATCAATTCTCACCGGAGCGCCGTCACCAGAGCTTCTCATTTCGGCCGCCGCTCCTACTCTCCGTTGTGCACTATTCCGGACTTCGTTTATGACACGCCAGTGCCATTGGACTCAGAGGACGACGTAGAGGAAGAAGCAACCCTCAGCTGGCCGTTCATTTCACTTATTTGAATTTAAAATTTAAGTTTTATTACAGTAAAAATTTTTTAAAAATAATCACATTTAATTTTTTTATTATAATAAAAAAATTCTTATATAAAATTATATTTCAACTTAAATTAAAAATTTATATCAACAAACTAACCAAAAATATTTTCCTTTTAACAACCTCCACGCTCAAAAACATGGTACACCTACAAAGTCATATTCTTAAATAAAAAAAAAAAATCAGCCCATAACTCCACATTGATAGGTAACACGTAAACAATCCCACAACAAAAAATCCACATCCTCAACCACCGCCAAAGCTAACTTCGAAAGTTGTCAAATTTCTACACTTCTACATTGTGAAACAAGTCCACGCCAAATCCCATAGTCATCATCATCATCTTCTCCTTCTTCCTCTTTCAGAGCCCAAAAAAATGGTTACTTTTCTCAAACCCATCACCTTCCTCTGTTCCTTCCTCACCATCACTCTCTTCTTCGTCCCGACCCACCAAAAAGTCACCATCTCTCTCAACACCACCACCCTCCCCAAATCCGGCGACGCCGTTCTGATCCAATGGTCAGGAATCGCCGATCCCTCCAGCCTCGATTGGCTCGGCATCTACTCTCCCTCGACCTCCTCCCACGCCGACTTTGTCGGCTACGTCTTCCTCAAATCCTCTCCGGGTTGGGAATCCGGGTCGGGTCGGGTATCGGTTCCGCTAGTCAACCTCCGATCCAACTACTCGTTTCGGATCTTCCGATGGACCGAGTCCGAGATCAATCCGAAGAAGCGGGACCACGATCGGAGCCCTCTGCCCGGGACGAGGCACCTGCTGGCGGAGTCGCCGGAGCTCGGGTTTGGGCCGGGACGGGGCCCGGAGCAGATCCATTTGGCGTACACGGACCGGGAGGACGAGATGCGGGTGATGTTCGTGACGGGGGACGGCGGGGAGAGGCGCATGAGGTACGGGGAGAGGAGGGACGCGCTGGGTGAGGTGGCGGTGGCGCGTGTGGGGAGGTACGAGAGGGAGGACATGTGCGACGCGCCGGCTAATGAGAGCGTTGGGTGGAGAGATCCTGGATTTATACATGATGGGGTTATGAGGAATTTGAAGAAGGGAGTGAAGTATTATTATCAGGTAATTACTGATTAACTTAATCGAGCTTAATTGGCTTAATTTGATTATTTGATTATTTGTTGATTGTTGTTTTAATTTTCAAAATCCATTGGTTCTGTGTATCATGGGAAATTTCGTTATATTGGAAAAGAATCAAGTAAAAGGAACGAACTTTTGGAAAATTTAGAACAAGTTTGTAGTATTATGTTAGAAATTCATTAGTGAAGTTTGTTTCTTTTATGTTTAATTGTTGTTGGAAAATGAACTTTGTTTTTTTGGGTTCAGTTACAGTTATTTTCGGTTGATCTATATGAAGATGGGATTGCTTTTCCTCCTTTTCTTATGTATTTATACGTTATGGGCTGTAGTTATGAATAATAAGAAAGTCTTTGCTTCGTTTTTCACTTCACTCTCTTAACTTGGCAAAGTTATCCACTTTTAAAGGCCTGTACTCTGTGAGTCACGGCAGTGTAAAATGGTTGCTAGAACTAGCATTCACATTTCACTTTGTATTGGTCATAAACCCAACAGGTTGGGAGTGATTCGAAAGGTTGGAGCGCAATTCACAGCTTTATGTCGCGGAATGGGGACTCGGATGAAACAATAGCTTTTATGTTTGGTGACATGGGAGCTGCAACACCATACACAACCTTTATCCGCACGCAAGAGGAGAGCTTATCCACCGTGAAGTGGATCCTTCGCGACATTGAAGCACTAGGTGACAAGCCCACTTTTGTCTCGCACATTGGAGATATTAGCTATGCAAGAGGCTATGCATGGATATGGGACCAATTCTTCAACCAAATTGAACCGATTGCATCCAGAGTTCCGTACCATGTGTGCATCGGTAATCACGAGTATGACTGGCCTCTACAACCTTGGAAACCTGATTGGTCGTGGTCAATATACGGAAAAGATGGGGGTGGTGAATGTGGGGTGCCCTATAGCCTTAGGTTCAACATGCCTGGGAACTCTTCAGAACCAACTGGAACCCGAGCGCCTGCCACTAGGAACCTGTACTATTCATTTGATATGGGGTCAGTTCATTTTGTATATTTATCAACCGAGACCAATTTTCTTCAAGGAAGCAAACAGTACGAGTTCATCAAGCGCGATTTGGAGTCTGTTAATCAGAGCAAGACCCCTTTCGTGGTAGTCCAAGGGCACAGGCCAATGTACACGACGAGCAATGAAATCAGAGATGCTCCAATCAGAGAGAAAATGCTGAAGCATTTGGAACCTTTGTTTGTGAAGAACAACGTGACACTTGCATTGTGGGGTCATGTTCATAGGTATGAGAGGTTTTGTCCATTAAATAACTTCACTTGTGGAAGCCAAGGCAGGAATGGGTTAAACTGGAAGGGATACCCCGTTCATGTCGTGATAGGCATGGCGGGACAAGACTGGCAACCAATTTGGAAACCCAGACCAGATCACACAGATGTCCCAATCTTCCCGCAGCCTAAGCAGTCTATGTACCGCGGAGGTGAATTCGGGTACACAAGGTTGATTGCCACAAAGGAAAAGCTAACCCTTTCTTATGTTGGGAACCACGACGGAAAGGTGCATGATGTGGTGGAGGTTCTAGCATCTGGAGAAGTCCTCAACAGTGGCATTAGCAGAGATATTGTTGATGGTGATATCAGCCAATCCAAAACAATGCATGACCATGGAGTTGAATCCACATTCTCTTTTTTTGTGAAGGGAGCTAGCATTTTGGTGCTTGGGGCTTTTATCGGCTATGTTCTTGGTTTCATTTCACATGCAAGGAAAGGGGCTCTGCCCAGAAATAACTGGACTCCTGTTAAGAGTGAGGAAACATAAATTGATTTACAGGATCCACAAAGTTTTGATTTCCCTGGTATTTCAAACCGCTTTTAATTAGCACAAGCTCTGCATTGTGTTATGGGACTCTGCTGCTGGGTTCTGGGATTTGAGTTATATCATTTATGACCAGGATAGAATTAGGATATACTTGTACGGGTGCACACAGAGCATCATCTCCGTAAATATTCGATTTATCTTTGCTTCTACGGCACGGTATATGGTGGGGATTTTGCAGTGAAACATGTGAAATTTTTATGTATATTGATTTTGTATTCAAATAATGGTGAGCTGTATTGTATCTCCTATCTCCAATATTTAATTTTACAAGGAAGTATTTCTTTCACTACCAGTTTTGCATGGCAAAGTTTTCCACCTATCAGAAGAGCTCATTTTCTCTGGGATCTTAAAGGCAGACAAATCTTGATAATTCCCTAGATTATAATGAGGATCACTGGTTGAGGCGTCGTTAGAAGTATTTGTGTTGGAAACATGAATCTTGTATTAGTGATTTGTGGGGGATTAAACGAATTGTAACATTCAATGAAAAAGTAGAAAATTGATTAAGGAAACATAATAAGGTGATTAAAAGACTATCATCAACTTGGTAAGCTGTGGAAAAACGTCGACCCTCACTTCCCAAGCAAATGCCGTGCTCGTTGATTAGTGCCTTTCACTCGAGAGTTAAGCTCATCCACGTCGTCAGAGAGATGATCAAGAGCTTTGTTTTGCCTGCAGTTTCCCAAATTATCAATTGCAATTCGTAAAACAGTTTCGAGTTGCAACTAGTCAGAATAACACAGTTAAAGGAATTAAGAACTAAACAAGTAGGAACCTGTTAAGTTCATTTCCCATGTCCACGGCCACGCTCTTCAAGTCACCCAAAATGTTGCTTAAATCTGATAGAGCATCATCTTGTTTTGCCTTCTCAACCTGTTAATAATCATATCCCAATATAAAGAATGCGATACTCTTAACAAATCAGTCAACAAACGCTAACCTCAACTTTCTGCAAAGCGCCTGCAGTTTCGGGAGGAGGCGTTCGAGTACCCGACTTTCCTTTCGGTATAGGAGCTAAACCCAACTTTTGCCTCTGCTCCAAGTTGTTTACACTCCTTTTTGATGAGGTATCTGTTAATCCAAGCCAAAAACCAATTATGAATTTATTACTTTTAAACGAGTTTTGTAAAGTCTACGGAAGAATATCTCATCATTTTAAGTGATGAGGCGTGTTATGAAAGTGAAGAAAGTTAAGCTTATATAGAAAGGAAACCTGCAGTTATAAGAGGCCCTGAAATTTCTCGGGTCTTCTTCGGCTTCCAAGTCTTGGAGAACATTCCCCCAAGACTGTTTAAAAGCTTCTCACCCTGTTTCCACAAACCATATTGTCAAAACTTAAAATTGTAAGATGAACAATTGAAAACTCGAATCCGCGAAACAATGACACATAAAAATAATATTTAGTCACAACTTGCGACTAATTACATTAGTCACAACAATATTTATTACAATAATTCTTTTTAAGTAATTTCATTAATTATTTATAATTTTTTTAAAAGGAATATTTATTTGGGATCTTATTGTCTGGTTCATTTCACCGATTCGAGTTTTCAGTTTCATGTTTCTATATTTAAAAACTCTTAGAAAATGTCACATCTAACTTTTTCTACTACAGTTAAAAATTCTAAAAAAAGATCACATTTTAGCTCGAATTGAAAAATTGAATTCGCGAAATGAACGAGACGTAAAGAATTAAGACGATCATTGGAATAACACAAAAAAGTTGGGAAGAGAGATGTGAAGCTTTGGCCTTTTTGATAATCTCATTCCACCCAAAGGAGGGCCACTGTGTGACTATACTTCTTCTCAACTCAACCAAACTAAATTTTACCAATTGTACCCGTTCATAGTAACCATACATCAAACAATGGATGTATAGAAATTTCCTTCCACCTTGTAGTCAACTATGAATCAAAACCTACTCAGATAAATCATGACAGAAAAATCGGTCTTAACTCAAAATGCCCCATTCAATCTTGCTTTTTTTTTTCCCTCCAAAAATAGCTATTCTAAAAATCCCTTAGGACAGACTAATATATATATATATATATATATATATATATATATATATATATGTAGACTTACATCGGACTGCGGAACCGCATTCTATTGAGAAGGAGAACGTGCTCCACTTAACTTTTGAAAATTTGATTTTTACCCGTAAAACTCTTCGATAACTTTTAGTTATGTCCATATTTTGTAAGAAAAACAACAAATGTATCCCAATTAATCATTGAAATATATATAATTACGTAACGTTTGGTAATGGAATTCATACCATGATTTGAATTATAGTTCATTATTCGTTATAGTATTTTCTCTCACAAAAAATACACGTAAATAAAAAATGATTCTAATATCATAATTATAATTCATGAACCAAACGTCTTGATACTATCTCAATATTTTTCATAACTGCACACAACTCTATAATAATCCCAGATTAAAATCACACACTTAAACAAACATGACTTACCCGGCTCAAATCCTTGTCCATATCAATAGCCATCAAGTGTGTCCTTGTGATTTGCTCACCCTGTTGGTTCAACATGTCAAGTGTCCTAGTAGCGTCCTCTCTAATATCATCTGCTATCTTCAAGCAATTGTCGACGCCCTTCGTCGTCTCCTCAGCCTTGTAAAGCCTTGTACACAGCATAATTCTCCAGCTCCTGCACACTCTGGCTCTCCAGCCCTCCCGAATCGCGGAAATCGTTTCGATACCTGTCTCTTCTCTTGTCATAATCATCTTCTTCGAAGTCCGGCACAATGAACATTGGCTCCGACGAAGTTCTTCTGGAGGGCTTAAGCATGTTCTTCGCATCTTCAAGGTTCGGGCTCGTGCAAGAAGAGGCTGAGAATCCAGGGTCGACCGATATCTGCTTGGAGATCTTGTTTGCCGGTGATTTCATGAACCCGAACATTTTGAATTGTTACAAAAAAATTCAAGAATTGTACCTGAAAGCAACAATAGGACATTTAGAATACCGCCTAAAGGGTGAGGCCGTTAACCGCTAAGGCAACTAACTGCCTAAGGCCTCCCTTAAGTCAAGGCCCCTATTATTAGCTAATTATCTTTACACCTCAAAATATAACATATTAATTAGGTTTTTTCTTTAACAAAAATCTTATTTCTTAAGGTTTTTTTGTTTTTTTTTTTTAAGCAATAGCATAACTTCATTAAAAAAACCATTAAAGAGTTAAGATACAAGACAAAATTAGAGAAGAACTGAGTGCTACTCACATGACTAAACAATACAAATGCACCCCTTACCTAATAACGGAGAAAACTTCTCCAACTAGTTGTGTGGGTTCGGCCACTTCAAAACGACTCTAGATGAACCACATCTCAGTCCCAAAATGGACTACATAACTCGGACTTAAAACGGTGGGGAGACCACATTTTAGCCAAGACCTAACGTTAATAGATGGGGACACCATCACCGTTATTATAACACAAATAAAAACATAAAAACAGAAAAATCTCTACAAAGATCCCAAGAAATCAAACCAGCAAAATCAAGCCCCTCAACGTTGGAAGTGTGTGAAACACGGTAGAAGTGGCGCCAGAGAAAAGCTCCTGCTCCTAAAACGGCAATAAAAGCACCGGAGACACGGCGGAGCATGGGACCCACAGGCCGTTGCCAACGAGCGACGACTGCCACACGTTGCGGACCACCCTCCTCGTCTCACTTCCACTATCTAGTTCTCAGAGTTTCAACGGAATCAGGCAGCGAATGCAGTCCAGATCTAAGATAGAAAACTAGAA